AGTTCAAGTCATTTACACATCTGGGGTTACCTAGTTGAAGTTAGAGTTTATAATCCACAAGAACGGAAGTTAGATCCTAGGACTATTAGTGCATATTTTATTGGATATGCGAAAAATCCAAGGGATATAAGTTTTATTGTTCGAACCATTCCAGTAGAATTGTTGAATCGAGAAATGCCAAATTTCTTGAAAATGATGTGGTTAGTGGGAGTGATCAAATCAGAGACTCAGTCCTTGAGAAAATTGATGTTTTAGACAATGCTTCTACATTAAGTAAAAGATTGGTTGTTCATCCAAACAGGGTGAATAATGAGGAACCACTCAATCAAAATCCATATTCTGATGAGATTGTTTTAGAAGATCATTTTGAACAATCTCCGCTACAGAAGGAACAACCAGTTGTGCAACAGTCTCAACAAGAGACTGTTGATACAACATTAAGGAGATCTACTAGAACAAAGAGATCGGCAATTCCTACTGATTATGAAGTGTATATGCAAGAATCTGACTGTGACATAGGTATTGAGGATGATCCAGACACGTTTTCACAAGCTATGAACAGTAGTAAGTCTAAGTTGTGGTATAATGCCATGATAGACGAATGACTTCTATGGCGGATAATGAAGTTTGGGACCTTGTTGAGTTGCCTATTGGAAAGAAACCCATTGGTTGTAAATGAATATTTAAAACCAAAGAGGATTCAGTAGGCAACATTGAGAGATACAAGGCTAGACTTGTTGCCAAGGGGTTCACGCAAAGGGAAGGAATAGATTATAAAGAAAACGACTTTTCTCAATGGAGATTTGGAGGAAGAGGTTTATATGAAACAACATGATGGGTTCATTTCAAGTGATGGTGAGCATTTGTTTTGCAAGCTTAAGAAGTCCATTTATGGACTTAAACAAGCCTCCCATCAATGGTATTTAGGATTTCACACTGTTATCTCTTCATTTGGTTTTGTAGAGAATATCATGGATCAGTGTATATACCACAAGGTTAGTGGGAGTAAAATCATCTTTCTTGTGTTATATATAGATGATATTCTACTTGCAACCAATGATTTGGGTTTGCTACATGGGGTGAAACAATTTCTCTCTCAACATTTTAGTATGACGGATATGGGTAAGGCGTCTTATGTCATTGGCATTAAGATTCATAGGGAGAGGTCTCAGCATATTTTGGGACTATCTCAGGAAGCCTATATTAAAAAAATTCTTGAGAGATTTAGGATGAAAGATTGTTTACTCAGTGTTGCACCCATTGTTAAGGGTGACAAGTTCAATCTGAACCAATGTCCTACACTTGAGATTGAAAAGGAACAAATGAAAACTATTCCTTATGCTTCAGCTGTTGGAAGCTTAATGTATACTCAAGTCTATACTAGACTTGACATCGCTTTTGCAGTTGGCATGTTAGGAAGATATGAAAGTAATCCAGGTTTTGATCATTGGAGAGCTGCAAAGAAGGTCATGAGGTATCTTCAAGGAACTAAAAGTTTCATGCTTACATATAGACAGTCTGACATTTTAGAAGTCATTAGATATTTAGACTCAGACTTCGCTAGCTGTGTTGATTCTCGGAAATCAACATCCAGATATGTTTTTATGCTCGCCGGAGGTGCTATATCTTGGAGAAGTGCCAAACAATCATTAGTTGCCACTTCTACCATGGAAGCTGAGTTTGTTTCCTGTTTTGAGGCCACTACGCATGGTATTTGGTTGAGAAGTTTCATTTCTGGGCTTGGAGTTGTTGAGTCTATCTCTAGGCCAATAAAGTTATATTGTGACAATTCACCTGTTGTATTTTTTGCTAAGAATAATAAGAGTGGAAGTCGAAGTAAACACATCGACATTAAGTACTTAGCAATAAGGGAGCACGTTAAAGCCAAAGAAGTGCTCATTGAACACATACATACCGAGCAGATGATTGCTGATCCTCTAACAAAAGGCATGCCACCAAAGACGTTCAAGGATCATGTTGTTCAAATGGGACTATGTCCCGCTTTGTCACTATAAGAGGTAATATTTTCATTGTCTGAAACTTTGTAATTTAGTTTGTTTTCTCTTTTAAGTTGTATACATTTTGGTTGGAGACAAACAAACATTCTAGAGAACCTAGAACAAACATTTGAGGTTTGTTCATAAAGTGATATTCCACATTTAAGCGTTTATTTAGAAAGAGAAAAATTGCATTGTAATACATGGAAGGTAATATTGTTTAAAAGGGACTTACCGCTATGATTCATGTAATTTTTCCTCTTTCTAATTCAACATACCACATATACATCTCTTATGTTGTGGATTGTATTATAAAAGTTTGGACCAAGTAGGAGAATGTTAGACTTTTTGCATTATGGTCCTATACTTTTAATATAATTACATTATGGTCCTACACTTTTATGCTAATGTGGATTGATGCGGTCATACGGTTGTGTCTCTTCTCTTGGGCAGTTGTCTTTGATGGAAAGACAACTGCATATAAAATGGAGACTTTATAGGTCCCTATTAGACGCAATTTTTCATTTTAGATTCCCAAAAACCATCATTCTAAAATTGCAGTCAATGGAAGACTTTGTATTTTAAATAAGCAAGAAGACTAAACAACAATTGCTATGGCTGGAGGTTTGTCATTTACTTTCGCATATATTCCATGGAGATTCTATGATGAAATTGATTGTCTTATCAACTTTTATATGAATATTGGAATAGAAATGTATTTTACACCAAAGTCTTTCCTCAAATGAGAAGAAAAAATACAAACCTATACTAACTATCAGCATCAAGATAATGAAGGAAGGGATAAAAACAAATGCATACCCTCCTTCCAAATCAGAGGGAACGAAAAACAAACAAACAAAAGGGTTGTGTATAAAACAGTTCCTTCTACCTGTACAGTTCCAAAAGAAAAACTAAACTAAATTAGTCAACCAATTAACTAAAATTTTAAGGGCATGTGGATGATGAATAAAACTAAATAGCTCCATCATCTTTTATAGAGTTTAAAGCCACAAGTCCATCATCTCAATAGAAACCATCATACAAGAAACAAAGACACAACCACACGCTAAACAAAATCTTGAAAACTGAAATGCCCCAATCTAGAATATTCACCACCATGCCATGTCCAAAAAAAAAAAAAAAAAAAAATGGTTTCATTTTTCCTTTCTTTCCAGATTGTACAGTCAATAATTAACATATATAATTATGATAGTTCTATTGTAAATAAAATTTAAGCTGAAAAATACAAAGTCGCACAGTGATAATTCTTCATTACTCATTAATGTTAACGAAAAATTTAAAATTTTAACAACAGCCCATTATTTGGTGGCCGGGAAACTGCAAGAAAACAAATTAAAAGAAAAATAAAAATACTAAAAACCCATCTCAGAATAAGGTACATAAACACAACGGGCTTTGAATCAGCGACAATTTCTAGTTCTCTGCCTCACCATTTCTTCGTCATTAAATGGGGATAGTGAAATTCATCAATGAAACATAAACTAAGAGGAGGAGAATAAAACACGAAGGGATTAAAAAAAATAATAATAAAAAATAAAAAAAGCATTTCGCTTACATGGGTTTTCCGTTTTTGCAAAGAGCTACTGTGTTGAAGTGAGGAGATTGCCCGGCAAGCTGGTCCGTATCTGATGGGTTTTTAATAACCACAATATAGGAGGGTTTTTGAGAATAAACCCTCCTCTATCAAATTGATATTTTCAAGACGTACGATCTAAAACCTCCACTGAGGTTTACATATTTCTATAAGCTACCCTGGGGTATTAACTTTCCTCACTTACCTCCTTTTGATACCGTTTTCTAACGGTAAATGTTAAAAGTCAATAATGCCCAAAGTGACAAATTCTATTTGGTCCTTATTGTTTTTTTGTTATCTATTAGGACCTTTTATTGTAAAAACTAGTAAAAATTTTTCCATAAATTTGACTGTTAATAGATCTCTACGTCCACAAAAATTCACATCCAACTCCTAACTCATCTCTGATTCTCTGCAAATCTATCTCATCCCCTTAAAAATTGCATTGAATTATAAAATTAAATTTATTTATATAATTCTACTCAAACAATGCCTTGCTATAGAAATTTTTTTTTTCTTGCATGTTAATGTCATTGATATAAAGATAACTATAGTATAATAAATATTAGTTTCAAAACCGAAAACGTAAATCAGTATAAGATTTTATCTTAATTAAGATAAAAGAGGGATGGAGTCAAGCTTTTGATTAAATATTTAACTTACCACCAATCACTTTAATTGGGTTTTATCAAACTTGTTGATTTCAAATTAATGAATTTTTTTTCTTGATTTTTTTAATTAGTCTTCTTTTAGCTTAGACAAAGTTTTAAAGGCAACATAAAAAATAGAACATTGAAAACTTTTTAAATGCCCCTAAAATCCTTATAACATTTAACAATATAATTGAATCACTTTACGAAATAAATTTAATGATAAAAATCATAAAAACAAAAAACGAGTTTCACTTGATAAACTTGCAAAGATAATTATAAAATAAATCAAAAACATTTTATCTCCAAAAATTTTGGGAAAAAAAAAAAAAAAACAGTGTTTTCAAATAGTGAAAATCAAAGATATTATCAATCCGGAAATTATAACTTATCAACTAAAAGATTAATGACAAATATCATTAAAATAAAAATCAGTTTCACTAGATAAGCTTGCAAACAAAATTATAAAATAAACCAAAACAATTTATCTAAAAACTTTGAAAATTAAAAAAAAAAAAAAAAAAATATCTTAAAATGTAAAAAAATTGAAAATCATAGTATTTTATAAATCCAGAAACTATAATAATCTTGTTCCCTTGGATGATAACAAGGCTTCAATTAGCAGATAATTAATTTGAAATTTAAAATTGAAACTTGATCTAATCTTATTTATTTTGCTCTATATAATCTCACAAACACCACCATCAAACTTCACTCTACTCAAGCTAATCAAATTGTATTTTTTTTTTCTATTCAACCATGAAGGGAACCGCCATTGTCATATTGTTCATCCTTGCTGCTTTCTCCGGAGCCAATGCCTCTAGAGTCAATGCAGTTGATGCAGCAAGTTCAACAACAAATCCATCTTGGTGGGCTTTTAGATGGCCGTGGTCCTACAACCCATTTCCACCTTCGGCGGATCCAAACAATCAACAACCGTTGTTTGATCCAAACATTTTGAAATGTTTGGGTGATCTTGTTAGTGGTGCAGCTGCAACATCATGCTTTCAGCAAATTTCTAAGTCGTATGACAGTCAAACAATTTCTTTGAGTCCGACATGTTGTGCAGCTGTCCAACAACTGAATGCTGATTGCTCTTCAACAGTGTTTTCCATATTCAACAATCCCTTTTTCCAGTATGCAATCAAGCAATGTTCTGCAACTCCATAAGATTGATTACCATAATATATATGTTGGAATATTTATTTATTTTTCTTAGAAATAATTGTCCTCTAAATTTGTAGGCAAGACTCAACATCTTGTTGGGTAGGCTTGAAATATTGTTTGAGTGAATAGATTATTGATTTAATAAAATTATTATCATTATTTTAATTATGTTTGTGATTATTTATAACATATGGGTTCATTACATTAGTGTCTTTATTCTTAAATTGACCAAGGAAGCTCAGGAGCTAACCGAGAAGAATGACTTGGAACCAAGAAAAGAATCAGGTTATTCTTTGCCAAAATTGTTTACAACAACTGAAATTGATCAAGAAACTATTTCTAATGTTGATGTAAAAAATTAGGATAATTGAACTAGTTAGATTTTAGCAAGAGCCAACTGCTGAGGACCTTTTGAATAATTTCATGGCTCAGGACAAGTTTAACATTGATTATATGATAGATACACTCCTGTGTTTTTATTCTTAAAAAAAAAAAAAAAAAAAATGTATTTAAATTGACCATTTTTTTTTTCTTTTCTCTCCTTTCATTCAAATTGCAAGATAAAAATAAATTGCATATATACATATATGATAGATACACTCCTGTGTCTAACTACATTTTGATGTGCAAGAGCCTAAATAGGATTATTCCTAAATTATGTATTGATGTTGATTGTTGACCCAATTAGAAAGGAGAAGGTTGTTGACTGACTTTATTAATTTAATCTTCAAAGGAATGTACAATGTTTTCAAACCTAGCCTGGCCCATCTAGTTCGACTGGTCGGACTAGGAATCAGGGCTCAAGTCGGGTCGATCAAGGCTGAAAACCAATAAATATTGTAATTAATCCGTTTTGATCTGTGGTTGGATCAGGGTCACTATAACAAACCACCGGTCCAACCGATTTGGTAGCAAAACCGGGTATCAAATATACTTTCCACTATATCCTAACAATCCTAAAAACCTTGCTAAATCATACGTCATTCAACAATTAATATCAGACCCTACTGCAATACTAATCCTAACTACCACTTCTGGCAACACATCCACCACAACAATTAAAGTCTCTCCGCCCTAACAAAACTAAGAGAAAGAGAACACAATCTGTCTCTTTTCTTCTTTCTTCGGCTCCCAACCAATCTTAGATCCACGCTTTCTCCTCCGTCGGATCTAGCCTACAATGTTTGTGTTACTACGAGATCTTGATGCACAGTGAGAGATCAACTTCAATTTTCAAAATCAATTCAATTCGAAGCCAAGAGGAAGCAATGTGAAAGTTAAAAGCTTGTAATAGCGAGAGAAAGTGAAGCAAATTTTGGAGAAAATTATTAATTAGATAATTTGAATATCATTTTATTCAATTTCGATTATTATTTTTTTTTCCATTCAAGTTCCAAAAGTTTGACCCCTCCCTCTAATTTTTTTGTTTTCTTATTCAATTAGATTTTAATTTAATTAATTCATTTGGTCTATAATCTATTTATTGTCTTGTTTATTAAACACTTCATTCAAAGTTTTAAGTTAGTTTTTTTTTTTTTTTTTAATCATATTTAAGCCCCTATTAATATTTAGGATTTAAATTTTTTTATTAAGTCAGAATAATGATGTTACCGGTTCAACTTGTTGGACCGATCAACCCAAAACTTGGCCCTTAATTGGGTTAAGGCCCCAGCCGGGCCTTAAAACATTGGGAATATATGCAATAATTTATTTAAAAATATGCAAATTGAAGAAAGTGAAGTTTCACCAAAAATTTTAAATACACATATATTCAACCATAAAAAAGTGCCGGCCATAAAAAAGTGCGTGTTACATGCAAGACAATTACGCGATTTCTTTTTGGCTGGATGCGATGCATACATTGTATGAAAGATGTTCTCTTCACCGATAATAAATCCTCTTGCTGGTTTATTTATTTCACTTATTTACGCTAGAAATAAGCAAGTTTAGCTTAAGCTGCAGAGAGAATTTGAGAAGTACACACTACACAGGAGAAAGATCAAGCAATTTCTGCAGATTTTCTTAGAAGCTTATTCAGCTGAAAGATCAATACTGTCCAAGTAAGTAATGTTACTTTGATCACACAAGAAAATATTTTTATTATTTCTCAAATATATATATGTTCATATGATATATAAATTTAACTCGTGTTATGAGTATTCAGGCGTCGTAATATCAATGGTACCACAAATAGTCATCTGAATATTTCTTATAAGTACACAAAAATCATTTGATGATCGGATTTCGATCGAGTATAATTCTGTGCCAAATTTTGATGCATAAAGAGAAGGAAGACACTTGACGCTGAAGGGCATGGAACCCACACTTGTTTCTTTCTTGCCGAATCACCAAACAGAACAACCAAACCAGAGCAACAAATTTTCATAAAACCTGTTCCCGTAAGAATAGATATACAAAAAAGCAACCTAGAATTTTCCACTTATTAAACTGAAGCTATACTAAATTGGGGAAGAAAAGTTGTTCAGTTATAGATGTCTTCATTTTCTCGGCATATGAACAACATTTTTCTTTCTGGACTTGTAACTTAATTTCTTGTAAAATCTATAGAACTTTCAACACGTTTTTCTCGACTTTTAATCTTACGGATACCCTTTTCTGTTTCAAGTTTAGTTATGTCAAAATATTCATTCAACGCAGTAACTTTCTGAATACAATCATGGTCATGGTGAAAGCATAATTAAGAGGTTCCATGAATAAGATAGTCATCACTCATCAGAAAAAGAAGTACTCAAAGTACAAGGGTACTGAGGCAAAATCTCAGAGAGTTTTCCTTTTGAAATATTGAGCAATAAAACAATTTATTTATTGTTATCGGAAGGTCCGAAAGATTCTTTTTTCCATGTGTTAGGGAAGGAGCTTAGAAATGTTTTTTTATCAAATATAATTCAATTGTTAATGATACAATGTGAGTCATACTACAATACTGGGATAACCCCATCTCAGTATTGGAAGGTCCGAAAGTTTTTTTTTTTTTTAAATGTTTTATGTTTATTATTTGTAAGAATTTTTCATTATAACATATATAATTTCTATTTCCATTCCCTCTCCTATTTCAAAAACCTAGAATATTATTATTTTGGGATCTTGAATTAACTTCTCAAATACCTTTTTTTTTCCCACTTTCGTAGAAATTTATGTCATCTATTTTTATCAGAATTTATAATTATAGTTTTAACATCGTGATGTAACGCATTTCCATTTTGTTTTTAATTAGGCATGCATTAATTTATAAGTTGATAACTAATATTCATTTTCTTCATAAAAAATATTTTTAGGATGACGGCAATAGTTTTGGAAATAGCTGTGGGAATAGCAGTTATGCTAGGAACCAAAGGGATCATAAAGAAGATCAAGTTTTTGAAGCACATATATAATTATGTGAAAAATATGAGCAAGAACTTGGTCATTCTTGAAAGGGAAGAAAAATATTTATGTGGGATAGTTGAAATTTTAGAAACTAGATTTGGAAAGAAGGTAACCTCCCACGAAATTAAACTCAATGTGAAAAAAATAATTGATGAGATCAAAGAACTCAAGATTGAGTACCAAAATGTTGGATTATTTCCATCTTCTAGGTCAGTCAAGCTTGGGAAAAGGCTCATGACAATTACTAAAGACGTAATTTCTACGAGGAATCATCTATGTGAAATTGCTACATTAGTAGAGAAGTCACCAAGTTCGATTCTAAGGAAATTTATCAACAAAATATTTTGTCATTCTCTTTGCTTTTGATTTATATATGTTTAAATGTTGTATTACTTAAGGTAAATATTTTCCTTTCCTCTAAAAACATAAAAGGTATAGACTGATGTGGCCTTGAGATTACCACATCATTTATTTTAATTTGCTCAATTTTTTTTCTTTATACTTTATTTATACTATACATGTTATTGTAAGAAAGAGTGTATGAATAATATGTATATATGTTGAATATCAAATAAAAGTTGCTTCGAACTATTATAGTTTTGATATATTATCGATGTTTTTACACGTATTTCATTATAAATGTCGATTAATTTATAGCTTAGGTTTTGATATACTAATTATTGGGCCTAATAAGATTGATTGGCTCGACTTAGATTAGACCATAATGAAAGATTTTACAGGACAATTAACAGAAAGAAACAGACACACACCAATCCATAGAGAGACTCGCACATATGTAATAAACCCTTTCACCAGCAAATTTGGATTCATTTTTTATCTAGGTCAATTTGAACTTGAGACATATACAGTAAAACCTCTTTATACTTGAGAAAGGTATGAAGAAAAACAAAGGAGAATGAAGGAGAATAGATATGAAATTCTTTTGAATATTCAACTTGTTAAAAGAGAAGTACAGTAGCAAGATACTTATAGTAAAACAGAGCAAAAACGTAAAACAGAAAGTTAACAAAATACAAAACTGTTACAGTGGTAAAACTGACTTAACAACTTTTTAACAAACTTCTTAAACTGAATTAACAGCTTTAACAACTTCATTAAACAGTTTACTAACATCCTCCCTTAAACTAAACTATCTTAACTACCATTCAGTGTTTTATTGAGATCCTTTCGTAAACCAGGCCACCTTTTTTATCATGCATACTAACTTCTAATTCTGAACCATGTTAGCAGCAACACTTTCATTAACCTGATCCAGCAGTTCTTTTAGTAAAATGATCTGATGAAGCTTCAGTATTAAACTAATCTAATGAAGCACCAGTATTATCTTACAGATTCACCATACTAACTTGATTAGCAGCAACACTACTCTCATTAAATTGATCTAGCAGCTCTTTTAGTAAACTGACCTGATGAAGCTCCAGTATTAAACTAGTCTAATGAAGCACCAGTATTATCTTACAGAGTCACCATACTAACTTCTAATTCTGAACCATGTTAATAGCAACACTCTCATTAACTGATCTAGCATTTCTTTTCAGTAAACTGATCTAACAAAGTTCCAGTATTAAACTAATTTGATGAAACACCAGCATTAT